CAGGGAGAATTCCTTCTGCTGTAGTGGGTATTAGTCTGTTCAAGAGTATTCTTGCCAGGATTTTGCCAGCAATGGAGAGCAGAGTAATATCACGGTAATTTGAGCAGTCTGATTGTGCTGGTTTAAAAGTAAACCAGCAGGGGAAATGAACTCAACCCAAAAGAGAGATTTTAAGTCAGAATAACAATTTAATAAAATAATACTATAAGTCTGATTATAAAGACAAACAATTGGTTTTAACCCACAAAACCCAAATGTCTAACCCAGCACCCCGGGGCATGAACAGAGTGGTGTTTGTTGGGCCCCCTGAGCCCAAAGTAAAGGGAGAGGGGAAAAAAACCCTGTTGGTGAGAGTGGTGGTGCAGTCTGGTCAAGAGTGGTGGTTGCAGTTGGGTCGAGAGTGGTGATCTGCAGTCTGGTTGAGAGTGGTGGTTGCAATCTGGTTGAAGAGAAATTGGTGACATCACAGGGACAGCAGTGACATCACAGAGACATCGGTGACATCACAGGCACAGGCACAGAGACAGCAGTGGCGTCACAGAGAAAGCAGTGACATCACAGACACAACAGTGACGTCACAAAGACATTGGTGACATCACAGAGACAGTAGTGACATCACAGGGACAGCAGTGACATCACAATCACAAGGACAGCGGTGACATCTCAGGGACATTGATGACATCACATAGACACCGGTGACATCACAAGGACAGCAGTGATGTCACAGGGACAACAATGACATCACAGGGACAGCAATGACATCACAGAGAGAGCGATGACATCACAGACACATCGGTGACATCACAGTCACAGCAGTGACATCACAGGGACATTGGTGACATCACAGAGACAGTCATGACATCACAGAGACAGCAGTGACATCACAGAGACAGTAGTGACATCACAGGGACACTGGGGATGTCACAGGGACATCAATGACATCACAGGGACATCGGTGACATTACAGAGACAGTGGTGACATCACAGAGACAGCGATGACATCACAGGGACAGCGGTGACGTCACAGGGACAGCAGTGACTGTTACAACCCCCCCCAGGAAAAAGGCGGGCGGGTAACTCAGGTTTTATCCATAATTCCCTTGGGGTGGATTAAAGTGAAACGACACTGAATAATCGGTGTCTGAAAACATATTGACAAGGTTTATTTGAACAATTTTGTATCAACAGGTGTGCCAGCATTTTGGGGGCTGTCATATAACAAGGCCAACCTTTCGGGGGAGGAGAAAAATGCATAGGGGAGAGAAAGACAGGGTAAGAGTAAGGGAGAGCAAGAAAGAAGAAAAGATGAGAGTGGTAAAAACGTAAATAGTCACCGCCCACTGGATCCAGCCATGTAAAAAGCAATGGTCTGGATCCGCAGGCGGTGGGGGGAGAAGAAGGAAAAATCCCCCCCAAACCCCCAAAGTCACCAGTCAATATCCATATCCTTTGCACCTCCCCAAGGCGGGGAGTTGTTTCCATAGGGGGGTGTCCCCCTTTTTGGCGCGGAGTTCATGTGGAGGGCGTGGTAAACTCGGCTCTTCCCGCCTTTTGGGGGCTTGACATCTTCTGCACTGGAGGAGGGGGGATGGGCCCAGCTGCCCATCAGAAAGTCAAAAGCCTGCAGAAGTCTCTTAGGATGCATATATCATTAACTGTTCCAGTCTCAGACACTCCCCCAGACCAGCGCTCGTGGGGAGATCTCTGCTCTCAACCTCCAGCAGTGACCTTGGGGGGGTCCCCAGCCAAGGCAGGAATCTCCACACACCCCCCAAGAAGGGTTCTGTTGGAAGAACCTGCCCCTGGGAAAGGGGACTGGCCCTTTCTGGTAGAAACCCATGGACTGACAGGCCTTGGACTCCAGGGCTTCCCTCACCATCAGGGGCTTCATTTGGGGTGAAACCAGTCTGGGGTCCAACATCTCCTGCCTTGGCCTGGCCCCCTCTCAGCTCAGCACTGACCCCTTTGCAAATGGGGCATTGTCTTGGTGCCATTGCAGGGGGATGTCCTGCCCCAGTGTCCCAGTGTTCCTTTAATTCCCAGAGGCCCTGCAGTGTCCCAGTGGCCCCTTGATTCCATGACCTTCGGAAACACCTCAGGGTTCCTTTGGTTCCATGAGGACCCCATGTCCCAAAGGCCCCTGGATTCCAGGAATTCCGCAGTGTCACAAGGTTCCTTTTTTTCCATAGGGCCCTGCAGTGTCCCAGTTGTGCCTTGATTCCAGGAGTATCCAAATTCTCCCGGGGTTCCTTTGGTTTCAGGAGGTCCCGCAGTGTCCCAGCGGCCCCTTCATTCCAGGCAGGCCCAGGGAGACGAAGCCAAAGACGGAGCCCCGACCCCGTCAGCATCTTGGGGGGTGGGGGGCAGGACCCGGGAAACGGCTGGGAAGGGACTGGGATGGACTGGGATGGACTGGGATGGACTGGGATGGACTGGGACAGATTGGGATGGACTGGGACACTAGGATACACCGGGACCAGGACTGGGACCCAGCAGGACCCCCCGGGAGCAGGATCTGAGCACACTGGGACCCGCCAGGACCAGAACTGGGGCAACAGGGATCATACTGGGAGCAACTGGGACCACACCGAGGGCTACTGGGAGCAACTGGAGGCCACATAGGATATAGTGGGAGTGCCTTGGAGTCACTGGGATCATACTGGTGGAAACTGGAATGTTACTGGGGCATCTGGGAGTGACTGGGAAGGACTAGGAGCATGCTGAGGGCTCTACTGGGATATCCTGGGAGTGTCTGCAACCATGGTGGGGGTGACTGGGACTGTACTGGGAGTGACTGGGACTATGTGAAGGGGAATTAGGACCAGGCTGGGGGCAACTGGAAGGAACTGTGAGTGACTGGATTTACAATAAAAGCAACTGGGATTGACTGGGACTGTCAGGAGGGAGGACTGGGATCATACTTGGAGTGACTGGATCTGTGCTAGGGGCAACTGGGAGCAACTGGGACCATACTGGGATCACGGTGGGAGAAGCTTGGCCCGTGATGGGAGCAACTGAGACCACACTGAGGGTGACTGGGGTCATCCTGGGATCATACCAGGAGTGAGTGGGATCATGCAGGAGGTGATTGGGATCATACTGGGAGCAACTGGGAGTGCACTGGGGATGACTGGAAGTGGCTGTGAGCAACTGGGATCATGCTGGAAGCTTCTGGGGGCAACAGGGAATGAGTGGGACCACATGGAGGAAACTGGGAGCAACTGGGAGAGACCAGGAGTGACTGGGATCATCCTGGGACTGACTGGGCGCTGAATGCGAAAAATCGGTCCGAGAAACTGCTCAGAGACTTTTTTATCTTTAAGCAGCAAGGTATTTGTTTATTCAACGTTGGGAGCAAGCCAGCTGGCGCTGGACAAACTTGCTCAAAGGCTTCACACAAAATCAGCATTTTTATCCAATCTTCAGCTGGGATTAAATGCATATTCAAGTGATTACAACATCTATCGATGCATATTAATAACAGGCGGAGTAGAGGTGGAGCTCAGGCGGGGCTTGGGGCGGTGTTTCTCTTGGCCCTCAATCCTGAGGGTACTTCCACTCTTCCTCCATGGCTCTGGGGGCTTCAACTCATCTTCCTCAGCTTGACCTTCCTTCTCTTCCATTCTTCTTGACCCGCTCACTGAAGCTTGGAAAAAGCCCTGGCTCCCGGCCTATTCCTCCTATTCCAATGTCTCCCTGATCCTGCTGTCTCTCTAATTTATCCCCTCGAGGCCTAGGACATGTTCCTGTACTATTCTCTGAAGCTTTGCTCCAGTCAGTAGAACAGAACGAGCACAGATGGTCTTGGATGTTGGTAGCTTGTTAGCAGGCCCCAATTTCTTAGTTAACTTTTTTGGGTCTGGCCTCCTGTTTCACCAGGGACACAGCCCGGGCCCGGCTGTTCCCATTCCCATTCCACGGGTTTGCATTCCTGTTCCAGGTGTTCCCATCCCGTTCTAGTTGTTCCCATCCCATTCCAGGTGTCTCCATTCCCATTTGAAGTGTCCCCATTCCAATTCCTGGTGTCCCCAGTCTGCTCCCAATGTTCCCATTCCCATTCCAGGTGTCCCCATTCCAATCCCAGGTGATCCCATTCCCATTCCTGGTGTTCCCAACCTGCTCCCGATGTTCCCATTCCCATTCCCAATGTTCCCATTCCCAGCCCAGGTGTCCCCATTCCCATTCCTGATGTCCCCATTCCCATTCCAGGTGTCCCCATTCCCATTCCTGCTGCCCCCATTCCCATTCCAGGTGTTTCCATTCCCATTCCAGGTGTTCCCATTCCCATTACTGGTGATCCAATTCCAGGTGTCTCCATTTCCATTCCCGGTGTACCCATTTCCATTCCAGGTGTTTCCATTCCCATTCCTGGTGTCCCCATTCCAGGTGTCTCCATTCCAATTCCAGGTGTTCCCATTCCTGGTGTCCCCATTTCCAATCCAGGTGTTCCCATTCCCGTTCCAGGTGTCCCCATTCCAATTTCAGGTGTCCCCATTCCAATTCCAGGTGTTCCCATTCCCATTCCAGGTGTTTCCATTCCCATTCCTGGTGTTTCCATTCCCATTCCAGGTGTCCCCATTCCCATTCCAGGTGTTCCCATTCCAGGTGTCTCCATTCCAATTCCAGGTGTTCCCATTCCCATTCCAGGTGTTCCCATTCCCATTCCTAGTGTCCCCAGTCTTCTCCCAATTTCCCAATTCCCATTCCAGGTGTTCCCATTTCCATTCCTGGTGTTCCCATCCCATTGCTATTGTCCCCATCCCATTCCTGATGTCCCCATTCCCATTCCAGGCATTCTCATTCCCATTCCAGGTGTTCCATCCCATTCTAGGTGTCACCGCTGTCATTTCCCCTGCTGGTTTACCTTTAAACCAGCACACCAGGTCTGTGCCCAACGGGGGTCCCTGTGGATCATCCAACGCGGGTCCTCCCATGGCTGATGGAGTTGGAGCAGCGGCCGAAGCTCTTCCCGCAGTCGGGGCACTCGGGGCTTCTCTTACCGGTGGGTCCGTTGGTGGGAGGTCAAGGCAGAGCTGTCCCTGAAGCTCTTCCCACACTCCCCACACTTGTGAGGCCTCTCCCTGATGTGGATGGGAAGGTGGGTGTAGAGGGTGGAGCTGTCCCACATTCCCTACACGTGTAGGGCTGTTCCCCACTGTGGATGTGCTGGTGGCTGAGCAGCTTGGTGCTTGTGCTGAAGCTCTTCCCACATTCCAAGCACTTGTAGAGCCATTCCCTGGTGTGGATGCAACGGTGTTTGCAAAGGCTGGAGCTGTCCCTGAAGCTCTTCCCACACTCCCCACACGTGTAGGGCCGTTCCCACTGTGGATCATCTGGTGTCGGCGCAGGGCGGAGATCTGATTGAAGCTCTTCCCACATTCCTCACACGTGTAGGGCCTTTCCCCACTGTGGATCCTCTGGTGTTGGAGCAGGTAGGAGCTCCGCTTGAAGCTCTTCCCACACTCCTCACACATGTAGGGCCGTTCCCCACTGTGGATCGTCTGGTGTCTGAGGAGGTTGGAGCTCTGATTGAAGCTCTTCCCACACTCCCCACATGTGTAGGGCTGTTTCCCAGTGTGGATGCGACGGTGCCTGTGGAGGGTGCAGCTCTTCCTAAAGCTCTTCCCACACTCCCCACACGTGTAGGGCCGTTCCCCACTGTGGATCATCTGGTGTCGGAGCAGGGTGGAGATCTGGTTGAAGTTCATCCCACATTCCTCACACATGTAGGGCCTTTCCCCACTGTGGATCATCTGGTGTTGGAGCAGGGCGGAGCTCTGATTGAAGCTCTTCCCACACTCCTCACACATGTAGGGCCGTTCCCCACTGCGGATCGTCTGGTGTCTGAGGAGGTTGGAGCTCTGATTGAAGCTCTTCCCACACTCCCCACATGTGTAGGGCTGTTCCCCAGTGTGGATGCGACGGTGCCTGTGGAGGGTGCAGCTCTTCCTGAAGCTCTTCCCACACACCCCACACGTGTAGGGCCGTTCCCCACTGTGGATGCGACGGTGGCTGAGGAGGGTCGTGCTCTTCCTGAAGCTCTTCCCACATTCCCCACATGTGAAGTGCTTTTCCCTGCTGGGAGGCTGCTCAGGGACCACCAGCTCGCAGCTCCACCTCAAGCTCCGGCCGCCTTCCCGGCACACGCTGGCTCTTTCCTCCTCACAGCCCCCTGGGCTGGCTTTGGAGTCCCTCCTGCGGGGGCATCTCCGGCCCTTTTCCTCCCCGCTGCCTTCCTGCGCCGGGGAGCCCTTCAAAACGGCCTCTCCCACCAAGCTCTGCCGGGGGGATTTGTCCTCCGCGCTCTCCGGCCTCACCTCGGGGCCTGGGGCAGGAACCAACAAGGACACGCAGGGGATTTGCCTCCGGCCCACAGGGAAGCCCAAGGACATCCCCCCAACTCCGGCCCCGGCAGGACGGCCACAAAAGACAAAAGACCCACCCAAAGGGGCACTGACTTCCTCCTCACCTGCCTGGGGGGCCCAAGGCATCTTCCTCTTCCTCGCAGCCTCCTCCTCCATCCGCCCAAGCTTTGGGAAGCAGAAATCCTGCTGGGGAGGGAAAAACAAGGTGTGAGCACGTTGTCCTGGGGGTTCCTCCTGCCCAAGTCCAGCTCTAGGACTCACCGGGCATCTTGTCCATAAAAACCCCCAAAATAATAACATTCAGCTTTTGGGGGTCCCAGGGGTCCCTTCTCCCCTCACTCTCTGCTTCAGGGGGCCGGGTTCCCAGACATTCCCCCTCTCCGCCTTCTCCACTTTCTTGGCCCGGGGATCCCAGGGGTCCCCACTGCCCAGGCTGCCCCTTCTCCGGGACCCCCCTTGCAGCCTCCCGGGGCTCCCGGGGCTCCTCCCTCTCCCTGCTCCCCCCTCCAGCCTGCCGGGGGTCCCCCAGCTCCGCCATCGCCCCGCTCCGCTCTCCACACTCCGGGGCTCCCGCCCTTCCTCCCCCCACCCCCGGCTCTCCCGAGGGCTCCCCAAACCCGCTGCCTCGGCTCCCTCCGGCTCCCCCGGACCAGCCCCCCCCGCCCACACCGGCCTCACAATGGAGCCGCCGGGGCCTCACCCACCAACACCAACCCCCAACAAGGGGGGGACCCGCAGCCCCCCGACCACCCACGGGGCTCTGCCCACAACCCACCCCGACACCGCCCCAAAACCCCCCCCGGGGACCCCCAGCAGCCCCCCGGCACACAGCCCCGCACAAGGGCCGCCTGTGCCCGAGCCAACAAAACGCCCCCACAGCCGGGGGGACACCAGAGGCTGCCCCGGGGCAACGAGAGCAGGGAGCGGATCGGGCCCCGCACACGTGGCCGGGCTCTTGGCTCAGCCGGCCGGGATCGGCAACCAACAGCACGGCCCCGACCGCCGGCTCGGCACAGCGAGCCCGGGGGTGTCCCCTCTCCAGGGCCCCCCTCTCCACAGATCAACGCATGGGGACACCAAGGGACCCCCAAGGGAACCCCTTGCCCGCTCTCCCACCTCCCCTTAGCTCCCCTCGCCCACCCCTTGCCCACCGGCCCCCCAAACCCCGGCTCCCCCCAGCTCCCTTCTGGGCTCAACCCACCGCCCCCCGTCGGCTCCCTTTGGGTCCTACCCCCCGTTTCCCTCCTTTCCCCCCTTTCCCATCGGCTCGTCCCCCTCCCCCGCTCACCCCAGAGCTCCGCCCGCGGCCGCAGCGATGCAGCAGGAGAAGGAGGGGCGGCAGGAAGGGCAGGGAGAAAGGCGGAGCGGGAACAGCAACAGGATCGTCCCCCCCGCCCCATCTCGCGGGGGATCGGGAAGGGGGAGTTTGTCCCAAATATCTTGGTGGGGGTTTTGGTGTTTGTTTCTTTTTTGGAAGGGGGGGGTGTAGGGGGAGAATGTTTGGATCTTACAGGACTCCAAAGCTGAGCCGCAAATGCCCCTTAGGGGGATTTTGGGGGTCCCCGGTGGGTGTTTTGGGGCGGTGGTGGGATGGGTTGGCAGCAGAGCCACGGAAATTCAAGAAGGGGCAGTGCCGGATTCTGCCCCTGGGATGGGGCAACCCCAGATGTGGGGACAGAGTGGGAATGAGAGGCTGGAGAGCAGTGCTGGGAAAGGGCCCTGGGGGTCCTGGGGGTGCCCACTTGGCCAGGAGTCAGCAGTGCCCTGGCAGCCAGGAGGGACAACCCTGTCCTGGGGGCATCAGGCCCAGCATGGCCGGGCCAGGGAGGGGATTGTCCCGCTCTGCTCTGCCCTGGGGCGGCCTCACCTCAATAGTGGGGCACTCTGGGGGGACACAATGGAAGGAAGAGATTGAGCCAGTCGAGAGTGTCCAAAGGAGGCCACCAGGATGGGGAAGGCTCTGCAGGGGAAGCCTTAGGAGGGGCAGCTCAGGGCACTTGGGGTGTTCAGCTGCACAAGAGGAGACTGAGGGGAGACCTCATGGCAGTTCCAACTTCCTCAGGAGGGGCAGAGGAGGGGCAGGCCCTGAGCTCTGCTCTGGGGGGACCAGGGACAGCCCCCAGGGAATGGCCTGGAGTTGTGTCAGGGCAGGCTCAGGTTGGAGGTTAGAAAGAGGTTCTTCCCCCCCAAGGTGGTTGGCACTGAACAGGCTCCCCAGGGCAGTGGGCACAGCACCAAGGCTGACAGAGCTCCAGGACAGTTTGGATGATCCTCTGGGGCACAGGCTGTGACTCTTGGGGATGGGCCTGGGCAGGGCTGAGGGTTGGACTTGATGATCCCTCTGGGGTCCCTTCCAACTCGCACATTCTTTCATTCTGGGATTCTGTAACACCCCACCTTTGCCTGCTTTGCTGCTTCTGTGAACCACGAGTTCCTCCCTTCATTGTTTCTTTCCTTTCCTTGGCTGGTTTCTCTCCATTGCAGTTGGTTACACAGATATTTTCTAGGGCACATTCTGGACAACCACTGCTGGTTCAGTTCTGTCTCAGAGCCTGAGATCAGCCTTATGGAGCCAAAGGAACCCTGGGACACTGCGGAACCCCATGGGATCAAGGGACCATCGTGACACTGCGGGACCTCATGGAATTAAAGGAACCCAGGGGCCACTGTGGAGCCTCATGGAACAAAGTTGCCAGTGTGACATGTGGGGCCTCATGGAATCAAAGGAGCCCCGAGACCTTTGGTACCCTCATGGAATCCAGTGGCCTTTGTGACCCTGTGGAACCTCATGGAATCAAAGGGCCACTGTGACACTGCAAAACCTCATGGAACCAAGGGGCCATTCCAGAATCACAGAATCAACGAGGTGGGAAAAGACCTCTGAGATCATGGAGTCCAAGCCATGACCCAACCCCACCCTGTCAACTAGACCATGGCCCTGAGAGCCACATCCAGTCTTTTCTGAAACACCTCCAGGGACGGTGACTCCACCCCCTCCCTGGGCAGCCCATTCCAACACCCAGTCACCCCTTTTGGGAAGAACTTGAGCCTCCTGTCTGACCTAAACCTCCCCTGGTGCAGCTTTAGGCTGTGCCCTCTTGTCCCACTGTTGGTTGCCTGGGAGAAGAGACCGACCCCCCCGGGTCCCCCCTCCTGTCAGGGAGTTGTAGAGAGTGAGAAGGTCCCACCTGAGCCTCCTTCTGTCCAGGCTCAGCAAGCCCAGCTCCCTCAGCTGCTCCTCACAGCACTTGTGCTCCAGAGCCTTCAGCAGCCCCAGTGCCCTTCTCCAGACACGCTCCAGCACCTCAACATCTTCCCCAAAGTGAGGGGCCCAGAACTGGGCACAGCACTCGAGGTGTGGCCTCAGCAGGGCAGAGCCCAGGGGCAGAATCCCTGCCCTGAAGGCAGCTCCCTGCAATCAGCTCTGCTGCAGCCCTGCAGGGCCCTTCTGCTCCTTGTCCTGCAGCTCCACCATTCCCTGCTCCCTGCAGCCCTGGCTCCCTCAGCCTTCCCCTGCCCAGCCAGACCCCCTTGTCTGGCAGCAAGAGAGCAGCCCTGGGCAGCCCAGGGATTGTCTGGGGCCCAGAGCTGTCTGCCACAGCCTCCAGCATCTCCTGGCTTGCCTGTGCCCAGCCCTGCTGCCCTGCCAGAAGATCCCAGGGTGTTCCCACTTGCAATGGAATGGGGGACCTGCTCCCAGGCTTTGCAGGCCCTTCTGTCCCTTCATCACCCACCTGATGATTCAACCAAGGCTCTGTGGGATGACTGTCAGTGTTCCTGAATCACGGGATGTGCCCACCCAAAGACATTTTCAGCGTCTCTGTCCTGCCTTGAGATCAGCTTCTCCTCCAGCACAGCCCCTCAGGGGCTGCAGAGACCCCCCGACAGCAAAGGCCTCTCCTGCCAGGGCTGCAGAGACCAACCCAGCTTTTCCCTGGCCTGGGGGGAAGCGTTTCCCCTTTCTGTGCTGTCCCATTGCCATCTGCCCCTCCAGCACGTCTCTGCTCCAGCCCAGCACTTGCACACATCAGCTCCGGGCACTCGGTGCTGCTGCTGGGAACGAGATCATTTCCTGATTTGTTTAAATGAATGGTGTTCATTAACTTGTTAGTTAATTGCTTTAGTGAATCATAACCAGAATATTCATCCTAAACAGTGGGTTAGTCTTAAGTCACTATTGGCCAGCACTTAGCAAAGTTTGTCATCACCTGCTCTTGTGGGAACAGGCTTGGGAAAATTATTGCAACTCTGAGTTTTGCTAAACTAGCCCTGATCTGCTTCAGTGAACAAAGCCTGGGGAGAGAGATGGATTGCTGAAACTGGACACAAGGAATGCAGAATTTACAGACCACAAGGACATTGTGCAGGAACTAGAAGATAAAGAAGAGGTTAACAAAGACCATACAATAGGTGTTGGAAACTCCCTGCCTGGGAAAAGGATAATAAAAAGCCTGAAAAATGGGGACTAATTAGGGTGAGAAGTGAGAGTCAATAACCAACAGAGGACAGAATGCTAAATACTGAAGAGGATGATGTAAGTTAGAACTGATGCCCTTTAAATTCTTTCTTTGCTAAACACATATAAATAAGTGAAAAGGCTGGGGGGGCAGGGAGGGCTGGAGTTATCCCCCACACAATTCCTGGCCAGAAGAAAGTGGTGCCTGACTCACTGATACAAAAGGACAGAGTTGGAGGGTTTCATTTGTCCCATTT